GGCATCTTCTTGATGAGTGATGTGGGAGGGCCCAGCCCACTGTGGGTGGTGTCACCCCTGGGCAGGTGGGCCTGTGTTGCATAAGAAAGCAGGCTGAGCAGGGGCCAGGGGAGCAAGCCTGTAAGCAGTGTTCCTCCATGGCCTGTGCTCCAGCTCCTGCCTCCAGGTTCCTGCCCTGAGTTCCTACCTTGGGCTCCCTGATGAACTGCGTGCGACCTGGGAGATGTAAGACAAATAAACTCTTTCCTCCCCAAGTTGGTACTGGTCAGAGTGTTTTGTCACAGCAATGCAGAACAGACTAGGACAGAGACCATTGGGGGCTATTTAGAATTTACATTTTTTGATATATTTTTATTTTATGTGTATAAGTGTTTTGCCTGCATGTGTATAAGTGCAGCTGTATTTTGCAGTGCCAGCAGAGGCCAGAGAAAGGCATTAGATCCTCCAGAACTGGAGTGATAGACAGTTGTTAGTCACATTGTAGGGAACCAAATCCAGGTCCTCTGGAAGAGCAACCAGTGCTCTTCACTGCCGCGCCGTCTCTCCAGCCCTGTAACGTTTGCTTTGTTTTTGAGATGGTCTCACTCTGTAGCTCAGAATGGCATTGAATTCATGGTGATCTTCTTTAACCTCAGCTTCCCAAGGTTGGCACTGCAGGTGCAAGCCCACTATGCCTAGCAAGAAAATGTTGGGAAACTAGACCACCTCCTATTTAGAATTTAAAATAGGGAAATGGCATGATCATCTTTGCCTTTTGTTTTGTTTTGTTTTTGAGGCAGGGTCTTGCTATGTAGCCTAGGCTGGCCTCAAACTTGGGACCCTTATTGCCTCAAGTTCCCAAGTGCTGGGATTGCAGGCATGCACCACCACTGTCCGCATCATCTTTGCATTTTGAAAGTTCACTCTGGTAGCTGTGGATATCAGGGATAGAGGCGAGGTCAGAGGCAACAGAGGCAATAGAGCACCCTTACTGTGTAGACCAGAGGTTATGATACCTGAACCAAGGCAGTTGAGATGGCAAACTGAGAGATAATGAAGTGGGAAAAAATAGAGAATTTGAAGATTAAAGAGCATTCTATTAGTCAAAGGAAGAAAGACTTTAAAAGTAGCCTGAGAGAGGTTCACATTCCAGCTCTGCCTCCAGACTGAGAGAATCCCTCTCTGCTACCCCCCATTTTTAAAGCGATGTTTTCTTATAGAGTTCTGTGGGACTATTGAGATTTCAAGCCCAATGTGCCTACCAGAGGGTATGGTGTGTCAGTAAGGATCTCAATGAGCCCTGTTATTAGAAACTGAGGGAAGAAACAAGCTAGGTTAACTTGACACCGAGAACACAGAAGGAAATGGAGAACTCTGTTTTAGATACAGTGAGTACAAGATTCCCATGGGGCATGTGTCTGGGATGTTGAGACAGCACCTAGAGTTAGAGATTTGATGATATTTGGATTGGCCTTAGGTGGTATCTCTCCTTTCTCACTTTAGTTTCCTCAGATGCGAGTTCTGAGAGGAATCATAGGTACTAGGAGTCTTCTTGTGGTGTTTTAACACATTTCATGTATAAGGAAGGACTTTTAGTTCTTCATAGGGGGAGAGATTATAATTGGTCTCCATGTCTATTTAACATTTCTAGGAAGGTAAAATTATACCATTTGTTTAGTTCTAAGAGGTTAAGTAGAAAAAGTTACATCAATTCAGATATTAAAATTAACCTGAGTTATATATACTTTTTAAAGCAAAAATAATCTAAATAGAAATAAAACAAATTCTTTCATGCCCCTTATTGGTCATTTTGATCACACCTTCCATCCACAGCATTGCATACAGCTTCTAGAGAGCCTCTGAAGCAATTATCTTACCTGTGGTCCTTACACAACCCTGGGAGATGGGTCATCTAAGTGTTTATTATCCCAACTTCACAGATCAAGCAAGTGAGGCACCAAGAGAGAAAGTGATGGACTGCAGGGCTTATTGAGACCTGGTGAGAATCTTGGAATGGAATAAGGTGCCTGGCCCTAGTCTGGCATCTGTTCACCGTGGCTCTAAGTGAAAATAGCCCTCAGTGAATTGTGTTATTTTATATAGACATCAGGGAACATTTGAAAGTAACTTTCAGTTCCAAACAGTTATGGGTGAATTTGGTATCCTTTATGGACACTGATGTTCTTCAGTGTCTTAATTTTTTTTTAACGTGCCAAAGACTTTATTAAATAACCAATTAACAATGAGGCCAGTAAGTCTAACTCAAAAAAGAATTGAAGTATGACACATCTATAGTCAGTATTGCTGAAATGAGTTTACAAATAATTGAAAATGGTCAGTAGACACAGGGCAAATGATGATCCTGGGTCTCACTGCATTGCCCAGGCTGGCCTCAAATGCTTAGTTCTCCTGCCTCAGCCTCCCAGACAGTTTGAATTTACAGGCACAACCCACCCTGCCTGGCTCTGCACTGCAATTTTTAAAAAATATTTTTTATTTTAGGTATGTGTGTGTGTGCGTGCTCATACTGTTACATGGGTGCTGGGATCTGAACTTGGTTCTTCATGATCTCATAGCAAGCATCTTTAACCACTAAGCCATCTCTCCAACCCCCTCTGCACTGCAATTTTATGGGAAAGAATATTCTTCAATACAGGTTGAATAGCCCCAATACAAACATCTGAAAAATCTAAAATACTTCAAAATTTGAAAAAATTTTGAGTACTGTCAAGATACTACAAATGGGTAGCCCCATATCTGATCTGATGTGACAGGTTGTAGTCAAAACACAGGCATGGCTCAGCAGAGATGATTGGGTGGCAATGCTAAGTCACTGGGTTCATTTCCCAGCACCACCCACAAAGAAAGAAAGGGAGGGAGGGAGGAAGGAAGGGAAGAAAGGAAAGGAGGGAGGGACCAAGAAAGAAAGGAAAAAGAAGGAAAGAAAGAAAGAAACGCAAGCTACTTTATATTTAGGTAGAGTTGCATATTCCTATAATCCCAGCATCAGAGGCTGGGGTTGGAGGTCGAAGAGCTTGAGACCAGTCTGCACTAACAATGTGATGCTGGCTCAAAGGAACCAGGGAAGCAAACAACAAAAGGGGTCAAAACAACAAAAGTCCCCAAAGATAACAAATGAGCCAAACCAAAATTGCTGCACGTTCTGAGTATCACTTTGGGCTAAGTGCTTGTGTGGTGGGCGTTCAGTGTTTGCAACTTTGGAGTGTTCCAAGTCCTGGACTTCCCTACAGGTAGCCTATAGCCATCTGTGCCATCTGTGCTGGGCCTTAGGCACAGTTGTCCCGAAGGATGACAGAATAGAAAAGCATAGGCTTTGGAGTAAGACAGTTCTGGGTCTGAACAGTTGTTTTGCACCCTAGTACTTGGGTGAGCCTGGGTTGATTGCTATATCTCTGCCTATGGAATGGCTGTAATTATACCTCCCCCATAATGTTCCTCTGAGTTTTCAGTAGGATAAATGGTTGCATATGTGTAACAATAGCTGCAACCATCTAATACTTTGTTTTCCAAGTGCTTTATAGTCTGTGTTCCACCCAATTTTAGAAATAAGTCTTCTTTTATTAATGACATAGCCGAGACCTGGAGAAGCTACCAGGCAGTGCTGAGGCTAAGTGTGTGGACCCTGCAGATGGTTACCTGATTTGGGTCTCACCTCTGCCTCCTGGTAGCTATGTGGCTTTCCTTGGACAGATTACTTAGCTTTTTTTGCCTCAGTTTCGTCATTGATAACATAGGTCCAATAGTGTGTATTTACTTTAGCTGTTATGATTAAATGACTTATTATATATAAATCACTTAAAATAGTGCCTGTAAAATAGTAACACATTAGTTCTTCTTAATATACCCAATGTGGCATAGCTGGTAAGTAGAATAGCCAGGATTGGAACCCTGGTCTATCTGACTTTAGGATCTTCCCACTGAATCATGTTTTACTCTGTGGGAAGACTTTCCTGATCTAGATCTAGACTGGATATTTCTCTTTGTGCTTTTGGAGTTTCCCTTCTTCTCCCATTAGGTGCTGCATCTTGCTTTTGTGTCTCTAAAAGTGATAGCTTGCTTGTATCCTTACCGCTTGGCTCATAGTGGGTACTCAGTAAATGGTGATTTTCATTTGGAGTTGGAAAAAAAAAAAAAAAAAACCTTTCAGTGCTTCTTGAACTGTCTCTCTCAGCTAGACATTTTGGGGTTCCAGGATTCCTAGAACTGTAGGCTTCAGGACCTGTGGGGCATAGAGGGGCCAGTAGGGTGCTGCCTGTGTTGGAACCAAGGCCAGTGTTTGGGCAGGAAGGTTTCCTTGAGGAGTACTTTGGCTGGAGTCTAGGTAAACAGGGTCTACCTTTCCCCTCTCCTACAACATGTTCTGCATCATCAGAAGTCTTATGTTCTTTATGCAGGTCATAGCTGCAGCTGGAAGTGATGAGAAGTGCAAGCTGGCAATGCAGAGGGGTGCACAGTCCAGTGTGAACTACAGCCAGGGCAGCCTGAAGGAGGCGGTGAAGAAGCTGGTGGGCAGCAGAGGGGTGAATGTAGCCATTGACATGGTGGGAGGAGATGTCTTCCTGGAGTCTCTCCGCAGGTGTGTGCAGTGGTCTGTCTGTCACAGTAGCTGGAGCTGGGGCTCTGCAGAACCTTCCTGTACCTCTCTCTCCCCTCTGGCCTGGCTTCTCTCTGTTTTTGCCGTTCACGTCTTCTGTAGGCATCAGCATCAACGAGAATAGCTGAGTGGGTGGGTGACAAGGAACAGAAGCAGAGAAAATCAGGAAATGCTTAAATATAGCAAAAACAAAATACCCAACTGGAAAATATTCAAAAAAAGACTGCAGACTCTCTAGTTGGCAATGTCAGGGACTTTAAAAATTATCCATGTGTTAAGTTCAGCTATGTGGGCCCCCATTAACTGCTTTATATACATGAATGTGGGGTTTCTGAGGAGATCATTGTTCCGATGTTAGGATTGCTGTGCTGGCAGTTCCCCTTTCCCCAGCTGATGGTGCACCAAGGCACAAGCTCTTTTCATCTTCTTGGTTCCTACAGCAGCCAGCAGTGTGCTTTATTGATTGTTTATTAAGTATATATTACTGCAGACTTGGTAGGACTGTTGTATCATATCATACTTTTTGTGTGTTTCAACCAGGGATTCTGGTGCACTCTGAGAGCAGCCCTCTCTCCTCCCTCCCTTCTTTCCTCCATCCTTTCTTCCTTCCCCTCTCAGTTTCTTAAGACAGGATTTTTGCTATGCTGGCCTGGACTCACTGTGTAGCCAAGGCTGGCCTTGATCTCCTGATCCTCCTGCCTCTACCTCCTGAGTGCTGATATTATAGGCATGAGGCACCATGGCCGGTCTGATTTCATTTTTCACATTCTTTCTTTGTAGTTTATATCAGTTTAAAGTAGAAAAACAAAAGCAGAGAGAGCAGCCTACCTACAGAGGGAACCTAGCTGGCACCATAAGGAATCTTTCTAGACTACCCTGAGCTGAGGGGCCAGTGTCTGCATCTGGATAATCACTCATGGAGCTGGTACCGTGCTTAGAGAAGACAGAGAAGGAACGTGGAGACCTGTGGACCCACCCCTCTCTTGCTCTCCATTCTAGATGACCAAGTTTTCACAACAGCATTTCATTTCCCTCCTGAAGAAAAACAAAAAGTAAAACCCAAACATCCAGAGCTTTTCTATCAAAGATTCATGCAGAGTTATTTTTCATAATTCAGGTGTAGCATGCTCCACAGTACTTTTCATAACGGGCTATGGAAAACTTGTGAAGGTTTGTGGATTACCCAGAGTTTTCTAAAGAAACACCATGCCTTAAGGAGTCCTGAAGTGTCTTTGTTTCAAGTAATACTCTATTCCATTGTTTGTCTTATTCCTGCTGCCTAAGTTCAAAATCTTCAAACCAAGTTGTCTTGAAATACAACCCATGAGGTGACATTTGTTTATACCCAATTTCCTTTCACAGATGAAGAGATAGCTTTGATGCTAAAGCATACTGTCCTAAAGGACATCTATGGGGGAGCATGTGACAGGATTTCCTTCCTTGTGAAGGCTAAATAGTATTCCATTGTGTGTGTGTATGTCACACTTTTTTTATCCTTTCGTTGGCTGGGGACACTTGGCTTGTTTCTACCTCTTGTCTATTGTGGATAGTGCTGTTATGACATAAGTATGCATGTATCTCACCAATACTCTGCTTTACATTCTTTTAGATATACCAGGAGTAGAATTTCTGAACCTATTTTTAATTTTGGGGAGAGCCTTCATACTTTTTCCATGGTAGTAGCCCCCAATTTTGTGATCCTGCCTGCAGCACATGAGGATTTCAATTTTTCCATGTCCTTGCTATTATTTGTTATTTTCTGTTTTGTTTGCTTGTTTATGTCTTTTTTTGATAGCAGAAGTCCTAATGGATTTAGATATTCGTTGCTCTGTGTGTGTATGTGAATGTGTGTGTATGTGTGTGTGTCTGTGTGTCTGTGTGTCTGTGTGTGTTATGTACGTGCATGACCTGTGTGGGATTGCACTTGCTCATGTATGCTCATGTAGAGGTCAGAGGTCTATGTCAGGTGTCTATTGCTCACCACCTTATTTTTAAAATTTTATTTATTATTATTATTATTATTTCTGTCTATGAGTGTATCACCTACATATAAATAGGTGCACCCATGCCGTGCCATGCCCATGGAGGTCAGAAGAGGGCATTGGATCCTCTGGAACTGGAGTTACAGACAGTTGTTAGCTGCCATGTGGGTG